GCAACTGCATTCAGGTATCAGCTGGGTACTTGGACAAGCTTCTTGGGCTCACAATGGTACTTGGACAACTGCTTGCTGATAGCAGATGGTCAGGTTTGAAAATATCACTTGCATTTCATTTCTGGCTACTATCAGACTACAGCAACTCTTGTTTACTCATCTGCTAAATATTAGCACTGAAAAGATCTGAATTCAAATACCAGCTAAACATCTACATTTAAGGCATAAGAGAGAGAATTTAGATAAACCTTTATCTGTAATCAATTTATCATCATAGGACAGAATTAGAGTTAGGCAAAATATTTGTTATTAAATTCAAAACTATCTGACGTGTATTTCATATTTAGTTATGATCTCAATTGTGGACTCATTTTTTGCATAGGATTTAATTGAGGCATATATTTTTGTAATGAAAATGAGGCCCATTTTTCAGTGGATCCAGAATAGTCTTCATGCTATTTTGATCTATGCCAGGGAAATTCTCAGCTGGACTGTTACGACGGCTTTACACCTTTGCACCACCAGAGCAGTGCAAAAGGACCATTGTGAGCCCAAGAATCCGGCCTATTGACTTCAGTGGCATTACACCCAGGAAATTTGACTTGGTATGTTGAGCATATGTCAATTTAATTAATCCTCACAGGCAGGGGATAAGGGACCATGGCTCACAATATCATGTAGTAATAGTGCATCTTTCCTGTGAAGGAACATTTCAATAAATGGAACTACAACCATTACCAACAATCTGAAAAAGCCTGGGGAACTCAAGTGTTATCTATAACTGGGGGAATTGGGAAATCACACTGGAAGCAAGTTCTGTTTGGTTCCTCCCCAAATTTAGCTCATTTGTCCAGGTCAGTGGGTTCAGTACTGTAAGTGAACAGAGAAATCAACGCTTCAGAAGAGAGTCGTTTTGGAGATCAGAGCCTTTTTAAAAATCACCAGCCAGCAGATTCAGTTATTTTTTGGCTGAGCTGTTGTTCGTAAATATTTTATTGCTCCAGCCAAATTTTGTGTCTCTGCTTTTGTCTCTCAAGTGCTGTGGAGAGGAGGAAAAATCAACTTAGTGTCTCTCTATGATTTATTTGTAGAGGTAAGCCAGGGAAATCAAGCCAATAGGTTCCTGAGCTTGAAGGGCTAGATTTACAAAGGAATTTAGGTCTGGTGATGCTGAGCATCACCACACTCAACATTTAGGTGCCTAGAAAGTCACTGGGATTCACAAAGTCTGGTATAGGTGCCTCAGGTCATAGAGACTGAATGAAAAGAGATAGGCACCTCAGAACAGGAATCACAAAAATCAGCACATTAAGTGGCTCCCTGGATAAACTAGCCAATGGGAGATGCCAAGGCAGGGGACGTGTCCTAAACCCGACCCCCTCTCAGGGAATTAGGGTCCTAAATCCAGGCTCCAGGGAGGCGCCTTCCTCTGCTTGGGATTCTCAACTGCAAATCCTCTCTTGGGGTTTGGCTGTGAGGGCTCCACTGCACTTATATCATAGCACATGAAAAGATGGGAGTTGCCTTACCAAGTGGGGTGGGGAGTAAGTGCTAATGAGCGGATTCAATTAAGGTGGAAGTGGCCTATTCTCAACAGTTGACAAGAAGGGGTGAATACCAAGGGAGGGAAAATTACTTTTGTAATGCTAAGGAGGCCAATGCAATCAGGGTGGCCCATTTCTGACAGTTGACAAGAAGGTGTGAGTACCAGCAGTGGGAAAATTACTTTTTGTAGTGACCCATCCACCCCCAGTCTTTATTCATGCCTAAGTTGATGGTGTCCAGTTTGCAAATTAATTCCTGTTCTGCAGTTTCTCGTTGGAGTCTGTTTTTGAAGTTTTTTGGCTGTAATATTGCGACTTTTAGGTCTGTAATTGCGTGACCAGAGAGATTGAAGTGTTCTCTGACTGGTCGCAATATTACAATGAAAAAACTTCAAAAAAAGACTCCAACGAGAGACTGCTGAATTGGAATTAATTTGCAAACTGGACACCATTAAATTAGGCTTGAATAAAGACTGGGAGTGGATGTGTCATTACATAAAGTAAAACTATTTCCCCATGTTTATTTTCCCCCTTACTGTTCCTCACATGTTCTTGTCAACTGCTGGAAATGGCCCATCTTGATTACCACTACAAAAAGTTTTTTTTTTCTCTCCTGCTGGTAATAGCTCACCTTAACTGATCACTCTCGTTATAGTGTGTATGGTAACACCCATTTTTTCATGTTCTCTGTGTATAGAAAATCATCCTTCTGTATTTTCCACTGCGTGCATCCAATGAAGTGAGCTGTAGCTCACGAAAGCTTATGCTCAAATAAATTTGTTACTCTCTAAGGTGCCACAAGTACTCCTGTTCTTTTTTCAGGGAGATTGAAGTGTTCTCCTACTGCTTTTTGAATGTTACAATTCTTGATGTCTGATTTGTGTCCATTTATTCTTTTGCGTAGAGACTGTCTGGTCTGGCCAATGAACGTGGCAGAGGGGCATTGCTGGCACATGATGACATATATCACTTTGGTAGATGTGCAGGTGAATGAGCCCCTAACGGTGTGGCTGATGTGGTTAGGTCCTATGATGGTGTTCCTCAAATAGATATGTGGACACAGTTGGCAACGGGCTTTGTTGCAGAGATTGGTTCCTGGGTTAGTGTTTTTGTTGTGTGGTGTGTAGTTGCTGGTATTTGCTTCAGGTTCGGGGGCTGTCTGTAAGCTGTCTGGACTATTTCCACCTTAATTGAATTGGCTTGTTAGCACTGACCCCCCCCCCCACTTGGTAAGGCAATTCCAATCTTTTCATGTGCTATAATATATATTCTGCTTACTGTATTTTTCACTCCATGCATCTGATGAAGTGCGTTTTAGCCCACGAAAGCTTATGCCCAAATAAATTTGTTAGTCTCTAAGGTGCCACGAGGACTCCTTGTTGTTTTTGCTGATACAGACTAACACGGCTACCCCCTGAAACTTGTTCATTTTAGTTTTCTCAAGAGGAAGGCAGTCTACTACAGACTCATGCTCAATGACAATGGCTTCATGGCACACAACAGGCATCCTTCACTGGTTAGGTGAAACCATTGCTATAATATGTGTTATTCCTTCCAAGATTTGCCCTAGTGTAGGATAACATAAAGACCTATACTTAAAGACCTCTCCTACTTAATGCAACATTCCCAGAGAATTTTTAGTGATCTCTGTGAAAATAGCTCTCCCTTTTCTTGCCATAAATAGCAAGGTTAGCAGTTTAGCAGGCATTGCATACTTTATTCCAGTTTGTGGATTTTCATATTTAGTCTGAGTCATTTCTTAATCTGGAGCACTGCAACGGGTACATTTTCACACACAATTTTACAAGTTTATTGGATTAAAGGATAAGCAACAATCGCCTAACTTGAAAATTATTGTTTGACCACAGCTGTTAAGTGAAATCTTACTCTTCTCAGTGATTTAAGGGTATATCATCTTAGCAGAGGAAAGTAAGTGAGTTGTGACCCTATCTGAAATCAAACAATTCGATCCTTAACATGTACAGTACAGGAGGAGAGACTTTGGAATGGAACAACGGGAGGCTAACACTTTGTAGTAGAAAAGCTATGCACAAATATTGAAAATATACACGGTCCTTTAAAGCTCCCGGTCTAAGTCTCCTCTACAGGACACTAGATTTAATGGAGTACAGAATCAGGCCCATAGTATTTTGTTTATGAAAATATTCATCTGAGGTTGGTGTATCTGCTCCAAACTTCTAGCAGATACTTACGTCTATATACAGCACTTAGCTCCTATCAATTCTAATGATGTCAGACACATTGTTCAGGCTGATAATCAAAGAAGGTAAAATTGAATTAATTTAATACAGCTCATGCAATCTGTTGAGATGTGCAATAATCATCAAAAAGTTTATTATTAAAAATATATATACAATATATACAAAATACAGTTGCTGTACTACTTGTGGATTACATGGTTTGGTTTCTGTTTATTATGTGGTGACTCAGAACAGGACAATTCTGAGTAGCCTCCCCTGACAGACTATATAAAGCACTGGAAATGTTTCAAAAGTTTTTCCAAGCCAGGTGGGTACAGGATGTTCAGCAGAAATCTTCTCCATTAAGAAGACCCAGAACTGGTAATCTAATATTTTCATAGAATAGGCTGATGGCTGACCAGCCTAGTAAGAGCATAACGTTCCATTATTCATGTAATAACATACATAAGTGTGACAGATAAATAGTTATATTCCAGCCAGGCAGAATTTTAATATCAAATATGCAAGTGCTACAGTCTACACAATGCCTTCTTTTGTGCTGCTTTACATTATGGATCAGGCACAATCGATGCATAGTCATCATACCTGTTTTGAATTGAGAGCAGGCTGTCATAGGAAGTGTTCTCACTGGAGCTGGGCAAATACTACCAAATGTAACGGTGGAGATTTGTTCGAATATAAAATCATGAATTCACTTCAGTGCTCACGACCCGTTTTATTTGTCTATACAAATATGAGAGCCATTTTTGCAAGAAGTTTTGCATTTGTTTAGAAAGCAAAGGCCTCCCAAGTAGAACGGGGGAGGGGAGAATTTCAGTGAATAGTAAATTTGCCCCAGAATGCGTGTTGAGGGGCACTGAAACTATTCACAAATGCAAAATTACTTGGCTGAATTTGATGAATAGGTTTGGCTGAAAGGACCCTGAAAAAATATTCATTTTTTTTAAACTAACCCTTTTGACATTTTGTTTCAAAACAACATTTGCAGAATGAAATGACAGTCTAAATATTTTGTTCAATCCAAACACAATGTTTTCTGTTTTGTTTTGATTCAGTGAGCATTCACTTTCAGTTTGAAACTAATCAACTTTTTTTTTCCAGATTTTTCGGTTTAGAGACTGAACCAAAAAATCAATTATTCACTTAACTCTACTCACAAATACTTGTGCAAATGCATTTGCACAGTGCTATACACTAAGGGTGGGATCCACGAAGGGACTTAGGCTTTGTAAAACTGAGCATCATGGTGCCTAACTTTTAGATGCTTAGAAAAAATCACAGGAACAACGAAGCTGAGTTAGGTGCCTAGGCTCCCTATACAATAAATGGAGAGAGACAGGCACTTTACAATGGAATCCACAAAAGCCACCAGTGTTAGGCAGGGAGCCGCCTAAGCTGGGCAATGGGAGACACCGATCAGAGGAGTGTGTGCTAAGCACGTCTCCTCTCTCGGAGACAGGCATCTAGCTCTACGCAGCAATTCACAAACAGGAACCCACCCTTTGGGGTCAGGCAGCTTAGGTGGCTAAGGCATTTCTTGCAGGAATGAGTTAGGTACCTGCCTCCACACAAAATGGCTGGAGGAGGAGGTAGTGGTGGTGCCACCCACCTTATAACCTTTAACCCAGTGGTTAGAGCCCTCACCTGGGATGTGGGAGATCTAGGTTTAATTCCTCCCTCTCTTCCAGAGGGGGGAAACAATTTGAACAGGGATCTCCCACCTCTTAGGAGGGTGCTCTAAGCATGAGATATGGGATATTCTGACGTGGGGCTTCTGCTGTTGAAGCTGTTCCACTGGGATAAATAATGAAAGAGTGATCAGAGCAGGAGGACTGACTCCCCGTTCTCCCACACCCCAGAAGCGTGCCCTAACCACCAGGCTATGGAGTCGTTCTTTCTCTCTAGCCCAAGGACTTTTTCACTGTAGATAAATCATTAAATAGTTATTGGGCTAGAGAGACCAATGGAACCCGATCCAGTAGACATGCTCTGAGGCTGCCTGTCAGATTGGGCCCTGCACATGAGGTAGGCAACTGAATGCCTATCCTCTCCCAGTTTGTGATTCACTCTGGGGCGTAGGTGAGGAATAGACATCCAGATTCCAGACACCTAAGGTGAGGCAATGGTGTTTGTGCTCAGAGGCAGTAACATAGGCACCTAAGGAACTTCTACCCTGAAAACTTTGGTGCCAAGCAAGTTTAGCACCTTCAGGGCTTGGCAGGAGTTTTGTGGATCAGAATGGAGCAAAAACTGGGATTTTGGCACCTAACCCTGAGACTTAGGTGCCTAAGTCCGGGGTTTAGGCACTTAAGTACCTTTTGGATCCCACTATAAGTGTTCGAGGCCATCTCAAAATCTCTTTAAGTTCTTTTTTCCTGTCTCTAAGATACCCAGGGAAGTAGCGGAAGGTAGCCCATGTGACTTGAGTCACTTAACATCATGAAAAACTAGTAATGAGGAGCTGAAGACATTGATGAAGCAAATAGTTCATAAACAGCCCATAAGCTGAAATTTCTTCATATTTGTTCATGGGTTGTACAGTTTCAAATCCTTAACACATTTTCAAAATCAAAGTCTACTCAAAGCTAATTAATGAGCAGGAGAAAAGAGGGCTAACTTTCTACTATTATTTGGTACAAGTAGATTAACAGAGTTTAAGGACAGACTGGACTATTATAATCATCTAGTCTGACCTCCTGTGTAATACAGGCCACGGCATTGCACCCAGTGATATCTGCATCTAGCCTAGTGACTTGTAGTTCAGCTAGAGCATATCCTTTAGGGTTTGCACAGCTCTAATTCTGGTCAAGTGCAAGTGAGCTAACATTTTTCTTGGCATAAAATCATAGAAATGTAGGGCTGGAAGGGAACTCGAAAATGATTTACCTTAATGGCAGAACCCAGTGCTTCCCAGACCTAGGCCCAGCCTGCATACATGACACACCCAAAGCTCACACTCAGGTAAACAGGCACTTATCTATGTACCAGGTTTGCCAGATCAGGGCCTCTGGAGTTCACTACTGCCACTGGCAAAAGCACACCTGGGGCTGAAAGGAAACTCATTTCTAAATTGTATCGGACAGCTGTTCTTCGTGCAGAAGTATGTTTCCCATTCACCACTGGTTTCTCCCAATTCCCTGTCTAGTTAAAGTGAGTCAATCTGTAAGCTTTGCTTTTGCTATATGTAAATGAATATGCCAAGCATATCCTAACTACCACACCCTCTGACTGCACCACAAAGAAATCAGCAATTGTTCAAATTACATTCCTTTATTAATAGAGTGGTTTAATAGACCGAAACTGAAATGGATCAAAGGAATGTTTGTCCATTAAAGTGGGCAGAAACAGTAAATATTGGCTACAGATGTCATCAAGATTTCATTTAACAAAAATTAAATATGGCCCATGGCAAAACAAGCAACCTTCAGAAATGTATTGTTAGGCTGCTAGTAGAAATGATTTACACTTTATGAAAACAAAAAGTCTTGGCAAAGCCAGTTTTAACTCAGTTAATTACTGTTTTGATTCAGTGTTAACTGCCCTCAGCTCTCTCCCTAGATATTATATACAAGCCTGCCATTAACATGGTAAAAAAACAAATGAGTGTTCAAGAAACTAATGGTCCCTAATGGAGCTGAGAAAACCCTTTTAACAAAGCCCAGCGGGCTATTAGTGTACAAGTCATTTTCTCTCTCTCAGGATAAAAGAATGTGTTTACCAGCTATAGGTTTCAGAGTAGCAGCCGTGTTAGTCTGTATCCACAAAAACAACAGGAGGACTTGTGGCACCTTAGAGACTAACCAATTTATTTGAGCATAAGCTTTCGTGAGCTACAGCCCACTTCATCGGCTCTCCTCTGGGATATAAGAAGTTCTGCTTTAGCAGACGGCACTAGTGGATTCTACTGTGGCATTCAAGCGGACAACCAGTTCAAAATCTCCCCACTGTACTTTCCACTGCATACATCCAATGAAGTGAGCTGTAGCTCAGGAAAGCTTATGCTCAAATAAATTTGTTAGTCTCTAAGGTGCCACAAGTACTCCTGTTCTTTTTACCAGCTATAGTATGTCTGCATTGATTGAACCACACTTCTCTCACATTAACTTAGTTAAGACCACTTAAAGAAAATAAAGCACTGGTTTGAAAATAAACATTTTAAAGGAGCCTGTTTCCTTCTGGAAGCACTTGTGTGCTAGCTTTGAGATCCCACTGTTATAATTAAACCATGGCAAATACCTATGTGAAGAAATCTTCTCATGGTATCGAAGGCCACTTACCAAATGGAAAGTAGTATGTCTGATCTGACAGTTGGTACAAGGCAGATTCTCAAAATAAATCCAACTCTGTTAAATCATTATGATAAACAAAGAAATCCCACCTAATTAAAACAAATACTCAATTAACAACTTGACTTGACAAAAGGACAGGTTTACTCTATACCAAGGTACTTGCTTAAGAGGTCTCTGATGCATTTTCTTAAGAGCCATACAGTATATAATGTATGCTTTTGTTTCAGTTTGTAAATAGGCATTACTAATGTTAAAGTTTGCTCATACAATCAAACATTGCTTTGCTGTAACAACATTGTTCTCAGTCCTCTCTCTCTTTCATCTTCCTGTCTGTATCTCTCTTCTAGTTTCTGTTTTTCAGAGTCCATGCTATAAAAAGTAGTGTCTACACTTCTTCTGATTTGCTCAAACTGACTAAAATCAGCAACATATTTACCATTTTGAGAGAGAGAAACCACAGGTACAAACTCATAACCCCAATGGATCTCCTCTGGGATATAAGAAGTTCTGCTTTGGCAGACGGCACTAGTGGATTCTACTGTGGCATTCAAGAGGACAACCAGTTCAAAATCCTTTTCTTTTAGGTTTTGGGGTGTGAGATCTCTTAAAGGGCTACTTTCATCCAATATATGATAAAAGGTTAAAGGTAAAATGAGAAAAGGACTTTCTGAAGAGGAGTCAACATGGAATTTGACACTGGCTTGGTTGAGCAGGATTCTCTCCCCTTCTTTGGTTTCATAGGTTTGAAGAAGCTTCCCAGACAGCTGACACTGAATCAGAAGGCTCTTCCTCATATTTGCCACTCTGATCACAAGGCAAAGCTCTCCATTGTGTTTGGTAATTACAGCACAATGACTGAACTTAATAGTCTCAGCCCGTTTTTTGGGTCTTGCAATTTTGGCCAAGAAGGTACCAGTGATAAAGATCTCAATCAAAGTTGTGATGACCAGCTGAGCAACCAGGAGGAATATGGCATGAGGGCACTCCTCTGTGATGAAACGGAAGCCATAACCAATAGTTGTCTGTGACTCCAAAGAAAAGAGAAATGCCCCCGTTAGTGAGTTTACTTCCTTGACACAAGGCATATGTTTGGGGGGGAAAGGATCCCTTTCTAAATCTCCATGAAGAAATGCAATGGCATAATAGATAACTCCAAAGAGGAACCAGGTCATCACAAAAGTAGCAGCAAACAGGGTAAGTTTGTATCTCCACTTCATGTCTATAACCGTTGTCCACAAATCTTGAAGGTAAAGCAGGTATATACCATCTACTTTGTCAATTCTCACATTGCTGTGACCATTTTTGGACATCACTCGGGGTCTGTGTGTCTTGAGGTCAGCACTGATGATACTGTTAATGAGTGGGGCACTCGATGTATTGATTTGAGTGGTGCCCATTTTCAGTTCCTCAGTTCTAAGAAGAGAAAAAAAAGAATTTAGTTATTTAACAAAGTCAAAGTACACGAGCCTTAAAAATCATGTGAAAAACACAGAAGGACAGAAGGTACACAATCATGACCGCATTACAGATGTATAGTAAAGGAATGCCCCTGGAACAAAAAGCTACCATCATATAGTGTCTGATATTAAAGCTAGTTGACTTTTTTTTTTTTTTAAAGTAATACCTTGACTGTAGTGACTGCCATATAAGGAGAAATGGACTATCTTTTGGTAGCTTGGAAAAGAAATTTGACCAAGCTAAAATCCTATGTTAGGACTGTATTTTTTTAAAAAGGCATGAGGTAAAATTCTTCTCATATATTGTCGAGAAAGCAGGAGAGACTTGTTTTGACTACTACATTTATTCCCACTCATGCACTCAGGAGAGGGATTTCATTAAAATTAAACACATTTTGATGCTTGATTTAGAATGCCGGACTACCTTTGTCTCGCAAAACAACACAGTCAAAATAAGCAAATCAAATTTTGTTCATGGCTAATTAACTTCCATAAGTGATTTAATCAATCATTTCTAGCTCTTCCCTAAACATAGAACTAAGCTACAGGGAAACAGCATAGTCCTGTGAACACATAAAGGAGAGTTTTGGAAAGAAATATTTGCACCTGAAAACTCTTCAAGGCTCTTTGTAACATATAGCACTCCAATTTCAAACAGTCAGTGGAAAACAGGAGGCAATTCACAAATTCAGCATTCTAGCATTAGGCCCTGACCTGTGTAAACACAGGACTCAATGGAGCACAAGACTCAAAAAGTTTGTTTACTGTGAACCAAGTTCAGTGCAGATGGAGATTAAGTGGGAGTACATTCAGGACGGAACAAAGCCCACAAAGTGCAGGAGAAGGTTGCCTGTGCCAGTTTGATGAGGCAAATAAAGAAACACTGCTTCCAGGACAAGACAGTGGTTGCGTAGTGCAAGGACAGGGGATGTTACAGTAGCAGTTTCCAATAACAAAACTTCCTGCTCTAAAAAAAGCCCCCATGCATCCTTTGTGCTTTTGGCAGTTCGTACAACAAACATCAGTTTGTTCCATTGTTTTGCTTAAAAAGAAGCTTTAATAAGTGTTTCTTTTTTATGAACCACAGGAAAAAAAGTTCTCCCTTGTAACTACTTAAAAGAAACTTGCAGGAAACTCAAGACCTATTTGTGGGGGGGAGGGGTGCCTGCTCCGGACAACAACATAATTGTTCAGTGTTGTAACTTTCCTGTTATGTCAATAAAAGCGAGTTTTGTTTACTAAATACACTGATAACCACATTACAGGTTTTTCAGGGGGAAAGTAATTGCAATTTTATTTGTATTGTCACACTGTAATTCATTCAGATTTTGTATTAATCGTTAAAGCTCATTTTAGGCTCAGTTCTAAATGATGATGATCCCAGCAGGAGACCTTTTATGGGACAATCAAACCACCACACAGACTGGGCAGCATGTCCAGATAAACAGAAAAAAAGAAGAAAAAAAAATACCAAGTGATCTTAAAAAGAACTACAGGAGGAAGCAGAAAAAGCAAAACAAAACACAGCAGCATATGAGCAACTGCTATTTAGACAAGCCCAGAACTCAAATGGTGCTGCCAGAGAAAATACAGCTTATGTAAGTATATGCAACATGCAATGCAAAACTCATGAGGAAAAAATTCATGCCATACAGTCAAGAAGCTCCATTGCCCTCATCAAGCATTACCATGATAAGATATTGATATAAAAAGTGCCTAAAATCTGTCCTGATATCAATCCTATCTCCTCTAATGCTCACTTCTCCGTAGTCTCTGCTTCCATTCATGAGAAGTGATGGGTTACAATCAGTTCTCTGCCACAAGTAGCTTTAATCTTCTGAAGGCCAAATTGTACCTGGACTTTGAGGCCATGCAGTGGAGTAAGGGCTAGCCCACTCCCCTGTGCAGCCTACCAGCATTGCTGCTTTGTGTGCAGGGGGCAGAGCAGGCTCCCCAGAGCTGCTACCTCCTCCCAGTTGTGCAGTTGTGTGAGGCGTGGGTGGAGAGAGCCAAGGACCTGCTCTCTCCCCTCAGTGCACCAGTCAGTGGAGTTGAGCTGTGGGGGGATGGCGAATGATGGGCCTGTGAGGTGGGAAGGTCCCAGAGCTCGGGCATCTACACCGCAATTAAACAGCCCCTTTGCCTAAGCCCCGGGAGCCCAGTGTAAACATACCCTAATGGGCTATAGCAAAACAGTCTCCTCCAAGACAGCAGGGAGGAGCCAGGGAAGAAACTGTGATTCTAAGGCGTGATTCTTTCTCAGGGTTGCTCGGAGCAGGGAACAGTTACAACTTGTGCTGCCTCTTCCGAAGACACCAGATTTCAGTTCAGCTGTAAGTGACCTACAGAATGTTCCAAGTAACCTCCCATTCACCCTTTCACTCAAGCGACCTGACGCTCTGTTCCTGACATCCCCAGCCTTTTCTCCGCTTCTGTGGTGGGGACTTACTGATCTGTAGATTGCTGGATCTCCCTTAGCTTATATACGCATGATAATAGCTTCATTCTGGTCTTTGCTAGGCTCCTCTCTTGATTTTTTTTCTATATTATCTCAAGGCTCTCAGCTCTTCAGATACTTCCTTTGGTATTCTGGAATGGATCCCATCTGATCCTGGACTTTTTTCTGACTTCCTGCATTTTCCCTGTTACATCATCTATTCCTGCACAAGTTTGAATTCCTTTATTATATTTATTCCTCTCATGGGAAATTCATGTTGGTTTTTTCTTACTGTAAAAGTACTTTGCTTGGTGTCATCCTTGCTGCATGACAGAGGCATTGCAATACTGTACAAGACCAGCAGCCCATCTAATCCAGTGTCAGATTCTTCAGAGGAATGAACCCTTTAGTAACTAGTTATGGGATAACCTGCACCCAAGGTAAATTTTCTCCAAACCCAAATAGTTAGAGATTGGCTTATACCCTGAAGCTTGAGGGGTTTTATCCCTTCCAAAGCTCCTGGTTTTAAAAATGGTTTCTATTTTAACAGGATAGTCTTGTTACTCACATAAATATCTAATCCCTTTTTGAACCTGCTAAACTCCTGGCCTCTGTGATATCTCGTGGCAATGAGTTCCACAGGCTCACAGTGAGCTGTCTGGATAAGCATTTCATTTTTGTATTTGCCACTTTCCAATGTCATTGAATGTCCCCTTGTTCTTGTGGAGATTAGAGAGAAAGACTGAACAGAAGATGCCAATCAACCTTCCCTAAATCATTCATTATTTCATATATTTTTATCTGATCCCCTCTTAGTCAGTTCCTCTCTAAGGTTAACAATCCCAATCTTTTCAATCTCTCTTCATATGAGAGCTTTTCCATGTCCTTAATAGTTTTCATCACTGGTCTCTGAACCTCCTCTAATTCGGAAATAGCCTTTCTGAGATGGGGTAACCTGTACAGTATCCCATATGAGGGCAAGTCATTGAGTTATACAATGTCATTATAATATTTTCCTTAATATTCTCCATCTCATTCTGTATGCATTTTATAAACAGGCACCTTAAAATATTTCTACAGGGGGACTTCCTTACATCTGGAAGTTTTTAGTTCTGTCTTGATTCCCTGCCCAGCTTTTATTCTACTTCTTTTCCTTTTAATTTTTTCCTGAATCAGCAAACATTCCTAAAACAACAAATTTACATTTTTCAAAGAAACATTCCCAATAACAATGACATTTGCTAGTTGTAAGGGAGCAAACTAGTTGATTTATACTGAAGTGAAAACTATCAGGTTACTTAGCCAAAATACCTTGTTAAAAAAGAAACCAAACCCGCCCCAACTCTAACCTTTGAATTAATTGATAGCTTAAAGAAACAGTAGCATAATAAGGGCAGGGAAGGAGTAGTCTCAGATTTATTTTGTACTGTAATGCCCAACAGTTAGCCCCTCCAGATTTCTGGTCAGAACTTTGTAACCACCAAAAAAGAGATTCCCCACCAGACTGTGTACTGGTAAAGGACTTTAGTACACACAAGATCAAGAAAGCTTAGGGTATGTCTACACTACGAAATTAGGTCGATTTTATAGAAGTTGATTTTTAGAAATCAATTTTATACAGTCGATTATGTATGTCCCCACTAAGCACATTAAGTTGGAGGACTGTGTCCTCAATACCATGGCTAGCTATCCCACAGTTCCCTCAGTCTCTGCTGCTCATTGGAATTCTGGGTTAAGCTCCCAATGCCTGATGGGGCAAAAACATTGTCGCAGGTGGTTTTGGGTATATGTCATCAGTCGCCCCTCCCTCTGTGAAAGCAACAGCAGACAATTGTTTCGCGCCTTTTTTCCTAGGTTACCTGTGCAGATGCCATAGCACAACAAGCGTGGAGCCCGCTCAGCTCACCGCTGCTGTTGTGAGCATTGTAAACACCTCACGCATTATCCTGGAGTATATGTGCAGAACTGGGCTAAGAGACGCCAGCATGAGGACAATTGTGAGGAGGACATGGACACAGACATTCCTGAAAGCATGGGATGTGGCAGTTGGGACATCATGGTGGCAGTGGGGCTGGTTGATACAGTGGAACGCTGATTCTGGGTCCGGCAAACAAGCACAGACTGGTGGGACCGCATAGTGCGGCAAGTATGGGATGATTCACAGTGGCTGCAAAACTTTCACATGTGTAAGTCCTCTTTCCTTGAACTTTGTGAGTTGCTTTTCCCTGACCTTGGACTTTATGAGTTGCTTTTCCCTGCCCTGAAGCGCAGGAATACGAAGATGAGAGCAGCCCTGAAACTTGAGAAGCGAGTGGCAATAGCCCTGTGGAAGCTTGCAACACCTGACTGCTACCGGTCAGTTGGGAATCAATTTGGAGTGGGCAAGTCTCCTGTGGGGACTGCTGTGATCCAAGTAGCCAATGCAATCAATGACTTTCTGCTATCAAGGGTAGTGACTCTGGGGAATATGCATGTCATAGTGGATGGCTTTGCTGCAATGGGTTTCCCTAACTGTGGTG